TGTCTTGAATGTATCCAAGCGCATTTCATATAATCCAATTTCTTTCAGTATCTCAAAGTATTCTATGCTCTCACAATAACCAGTTGCTATGTGATGCAAGTATTACATCTTTGCACAAGATATCTAAAATGAAACTTGCACACTTTGTCAAATACTGTAAAAATAGTCCCAACATATAAACTGATAATCTAGGTGATCATGTGGTCACAAGGTTCAACAAACATTAACATATAATAACAATGTTGTATAATGTCAACTAGTATAATAAATATATGGAATTACTGCTCATTTTATCTAATACATGTAAAAAATGAACTTCCAAATGAATAGATAAGACTTTCTATAAGGATAGTATTGCAACCTAAACCTGTTTTAATGTGTTTACACTCAAACTCAGTATGATAATAATCCTAATCAGCATAATCTTTCAACAAGTTCACAACAGGGCATCACCATGACCCTGGTGCGTTGTACCCCATACAGATAGGAAGTGAACGTGTTTGACAAAGACACAATAGAATTTCTTGAGTGTACATGTCATAAAAAACATGCCGCATTAGGCCATAATTTGCAAACCATAAAACCTACGCAGATCAACGATCTCCAGCTGAACTGCAAAGCGAAATAATCATTATGAATACACTCTCTCAAACAGCACCCAACAACATGTAACTGAAGAGAGAGCCTCAGAAAGTGAAGGATATCGTTCTGTTATTCATGTTCCGTGTACAATTGAGACCGTCAAGAAATTGGGAGCCAGGAGCTACTGCTGCACACAAAAATCAATATCGTAGAAAGTTTGGCAACCCTGGTGTACCCAGAGAGTAGCAAATATACCAGGCGGCCTGTGGCTGCAGGCTCCCCATTAGCTATGCAGCAGGCACCAGGATGGGGAAACTGTCCTCCATGTTATACAGGAGATCCTGTCTACTATAGGATCCTGTCTACTATAGGTACAAGGGAAGTTGGTTGAGATACTGGAGTGTTCAGGATGGGGAAACTGTCCTCCATGTTATACAGGGGATCCTGTCTACTATAGGAACAAGGGAAGGTGGTTGGGATCCTGTCTACTATAGGAACAAGGGAAGGTGGTTGAGATACTGGAGTGTTCAGGATGGGGAAACTGTCCTCCATGTTATACAGGGGATCCTGTCTACTATAGGATCCTGTCTACTATAGGTACAAGGGAAGTTGGTTGAGATACTGGAGTGTTCAGGATGGGGAAACTGTCCTCCATGTTATACAGGGGATCCTGTCTACTATAGGAACAAGGGAAGGTGGTTGAGATACTGGAGTGTTCAGGATGGGGAAACTGTCCTCCATGTTATACAGGGGATCCTGTCTACTATAGGAACAAGGGAAGGTGGTTGAGATACTGGAGTGTTCAGGATGGGGAAACTGTCCTCCATGTTATACAGGGGATCCTGTCTACTATAGGAACAAGGGAAGGTGGTTGAGATACTGGAGTGTTCAGGATGGGAAAACTGTCCTCCATGTTATACGAGGGGTCTAATATAGGAACAAGGGAAGGTGGTTGAGATACTGGAGTGTTCAGGATGGGGAAACTGTCCTCCATGTTATACAGGGGATCCTGTCTACTATAGGAACAAGGGAAGGTGGTTGAGATACTGGAGTGTTGAGGATGGGGAAACTGTCCTCCATGTTATACGAGGGGTCTACTATAGGAACAAGGGTAGTGTAATGCTTTGTCTCTGAATATATATAACATTAATAGTAACAAAAATTAGTAACCCATTTAAATCGGAATGGAGCCCCAGTGAGATGGGAGATTCCAACCTTCATTTAGGGCTTTAACACTGCAGGGATAGCAGTGGGGAACATAATGGGGTTCAGGGAGACAGTGAGGCGGGTTGAGATACTGCAGTGTTAAAGGGACTTTAGGCTCCAGCAAAATTGGTGGTCCTGGCAGAGTTAATTCAGGTCATTAATAACTGAGTTTTTTTGCCTGTTCACTGAAATTTTGTTACATTAATCTGGCAGTTGAAGATTAGCCAAATTAAAACAGACAATGCCTCCATTTGACACTGGGTGCTAATGACCTTGGCTAGACTTAGGCTGGAATGGGCACCAGTAGTGGAGTGTTGTTCCCCTTTAACATGGAGTATCGAAACAGAAAACTGAAAAACGCTGATACCAGCGTTTATATATTCATTTAATAAACCAGGCTTTAGATTAACATCACAAACATGTAGTGTCCCTTAAATAGGGTTATAATATGTATGAAGTAAAACAAACTCAGTTTATAATAGAACTTGTGAGTATTAAAGGCACCCTTCCTTGAGATGAAAATGTTTATAATTGAATTTGTTTCGCATTAAGGGACCCTTCCTAAAGATGTGATGAGTTGAAGTTTAATGTTGCATTGTGATTGTTTCAGCCACATAGCGATGAGACCATGTCTGTGAGTATTGGGTGTTGTGCTAAGACGTGGATCATCACAGATCGTGAGTGAATATTCAGTTAAATATATACTCTCCAGTCTGGTACACTGATCATCTGGGGTTTCTAATCGAATCTTAACTGGTTTTCAGATTCAATTTCAGACATTCTGACTTCACGATAATAGTCCTTCTGGTAATGAGAATCAATTTGAGCAATCTTCTGAAAAAAAAAAATCAACAGTATTGTTTGGTGTTCAGTATAAGGAGTACATCATTAATTTGTTTCTATATGTTCTATATGATTCTGCAAGTTATTTCATCTAAATATCAAACAGAGCTTGTATGTTCTACTGTTTCTCTGATAACATATTCTATAAATGACTATTTTCAAAAGCTCCATTCAAGGGACTTTTCACTTTGAAAATGTGACAAAAACGAGATCAATGTGGCTTCTAATTTTACATTACATACTCTCTTATCATGAATATTCCCCAAGTAGATTAACGAGAGGCTGCTAAACATAATGGACCGTGCAGCTGTTCAGTTCTTATCATTAATATTTGGATAATACTTTCACCCAGTTTGATGAAAAAAGATGGTTAAGAATATTTCCAATTTCTTTTATATCGTGACGTATTACCCACTTCACAGTAAAAAGAAGGATAAATGCCTTCATTAGGAAACAAGTTTTTGGACAATTCTTCCATGGAATCGGCATACAAGGTTCTAAAAAAGTACAAATTTATACTTCATTTCAACATTGCTATCTGAAATAGCTTCACAAATATTAACAAACACTGATGCAGGTATAACAATAAAAGAGTTTTTGAAAAACACACTGACAATTATTATCTTTGTTAGATTTAGAAAAATAGAACCTGGTTTAGAAATGAGACATTTTTAAGTTTTAATGTACATTTTATCAAATATGACGTGTATTTGTGAAGATAATGTTCATAGGATAAAAACAGCAAAGTAATTAGATCATTTACAGCAGTTGTGATAATGACTTCGGGCAACTGAATAATGTGGAGAAGGGGGATCGGGGTGTGAGGCTATAAAGTTTCAATAAAGCACGAACAAGCTGAGCCTGAAATATGCTGGTGCATGGTTTGACATTCACGCCAATTTGCACAACTTTGTGTCTTAACTTGATTGTGTGTGTCTTTCTTCACATCAGTTGACAAATCATTCTAGTAATCTATTGAATCAATAGCAACAAACAAGTTCAAATCAAACCAATCTTTCTGTTTGGACTCAATACTTGTACACATGAGAATCAGTGAATAAAGTACATACTTCTATAATTAAAGATAAAAGGTATTTGTTTCTTTTAGTTTTATGCTCTACAAGTTGCATGTATATTCATGGAAAGTGACTGTATATCTACTATAACACCTCTGTTCCATAATGAAATGGTTCTGCAATAGATATAGCTTATTTTACATACAGATGTTAAGTTGTTATGCTTCGCTGCCACTTTGCAACAGCACAAAAAAGATGTGTTAACATGGCTAAGATACAAACATTGGTTACGTAACTTTAAAATTATATACATATAATGTATTGACTATTCCAAGTGCCAGGATTAACGTTGATGAATACTGAACACCAACATGATCATTGTATTGACATTCATGCTGTTCGACAAATCAAACAGATCTTCCTCCACACGCCTTTTAGACATGTTAGTTTACAGGAATAAATTATTCAATGAGCACAGAATACTACTCCTTTTAAAAAAAAGCTCTCAACGTGACTGATAGTGAACTTTATCCATGTAGAAAACACAGTTTTCATTTTATTAAAACTTCAAACAGGTCAAACAGGTAATGCCTCTTTGGGATAGAAAAATACCCTACTCAAATATGCCAAAGTTAAAGCAAACACGGTGTTCCTCTTTTTCTAGCTTGCACTTAGCATTGTGAATCCGCTAATCAATACCGGCTACAGGGGACCACACAGACAATAGAATCTTCACAAACAATAGTTCCTCTCTTCTGTTAGAGTTGTAGTGATTCATTCAATCATTCTGCATGTCAGTGGGGTTGGTTGTTTCGCATAACAGAGGGAATAATTTAATAAGTCATAAAGAGGGAAAAAATGTAATTATTGTGCATCTGACAAACTTGGAATATGTTGAAATATATTTTATGTTTCACTAATTCGGAAATAAAATACAACATTATATACCCTAATGTAAACAAAATGTGAAAAACGTTGTAAATTAGAGTAACTACATTCTTGGGGCCCATTCTTGAAGCTCGTGAGGTTATAATAATCGATACACGTCAAAATATTACTTTGTTCGCGTATGGCATGCGATGCCATTGATTAACAGAATATAATTTCAGAATTTCGGAAATATTTTACGATAACAGATCCTCGGTTAAACAAAGCTACAACTTTAACGCAGGCAACTAATAGTCCGTAGAGATTATATGCATGAATTACTTGGCCAAATACTTCCGTTGATGACACCACAGGGCACCAATTTGACGCTTCTTATCCGACAAACAAAAGAGCAGAGTGAACTTTTAATCTGTTCTAATATGAACATAATCAAATAAAAAGGCACGCGGCGTTTCATCTGCTTACCTGACCGCGGTAGATAAATCCATATTTATCGGCAACGGACTTGGCCTTCCTCTCGCCTCCTAAGACATGTACAGCCCATTTATCTGTGTAGTGTTGACCAAAAGCCACCTCCAGGAATATCAACCCGAGAACTGACACCCGTACAATGTGACCGTATCCATTCATTGTGTTGACCTCTCCTTCCAACTCACGCGAGGTAGCCAATACCCCTATTTCTTGGATTTCTCTAAGAATGGTCTGCGATGGCACCGACGAATTTGGTTATTCCAAAAGGGTTACCAGTAGGATTTCCTCATCTACCCATAATACACTTCAGGAATACTATCCGTTGCAATTCAACCGTTCTCCATGTTGCGATTCGTCATTGACACGGTGTATGTTCACGTAACATGAATAATCCAAGGGGATTCTGTGAGTGGACCGAACCCACTACGCCTGCCGAACTGACAAGTAAGGCTGTGTGAGCCGATAGCAAGAGTTGACAATATATACTGCTCGCTAGATGGCGCTTGAACGCGGAAGTAAACCCCCTTGCGCATGCGTTGTTCTTTCGCGGAGCGTGCTGAATTCTCTATGACTGTTAATAGGACGGGGAAGGAAGTGTGTATTTCGATGTATCGTGTGGTGCAAGAAAGACCCCTGCTTGTGTGTGAGCTGCACCGCATACATGCGTGACAAGCATATCGTTCCTTTATCAGCAACTGCACTACAAACCCAAGCTTTGAATGTGTAACAAATGCACCCGAACCTGGAAGTCAACATAACACAATTCAAGACTGAATGCCATGCCATAATATGACAGTTTTCACATCTTTGGCGACAAATAAAGATGGTTTCACTGACTGAAACAAATATATATTAGTGTGGTGTCGCTTTCACAGCAGTTTTATCAGATTTTGTTATTGACATAAAATGTTCCATTACAACAATTAAACATACATATATGTGTGGCAACGCAGGGAGTATGTGAACTACTCAAAGGGGTGAGTGAGTTAAAATTTACCGTCACATCGGCAATATTGCAGCCATATCGTGACGAGGATTTGAATAATAAACAAAGTCGCAATAATTTAACTCAAATTATAAAACCCTGTCAACAACGGACAGTAAAATAACTAGAGGATCACAGATATAGGTATAAAACTAGTATGAAAACCTACAAAAAAATTAACTATAGAACACGATACAATATAAAAATAGACTATATATTGCCAACAACTGAAGGTAGATCGCCAACAACTGAAGGTAGATCACCATACTAGGGACCATGGGGACTTACACTACTCAAAGAAGGTTAAGGACCATCGGATTATGTAATGATAGTGCAGTTATTACTGCGACAGGTTGTATGAAACAGTCGGATGTTGTTTAAGTGAGAATACAGTCTGAGTAGTGTATATTGATTAGACTCCCTGGTCAAATATAACGGGGAAACGAAGACACACTCGATTGTCCTGGGTAATATAATCTATATCCGTTCCAAGAATCCAGGAAACATTTATGGGTTTGTACCTTCTTTATATCTTTATGATAACAATATATAAAGAGACAGCCAATCATATTAATGCCAAACTTTTTAGTGCTCATCAAAACTTGACTCCCCTTTACATTTTATGTAATTCTTGCAGAATGGACTGGAGGTAGGAACTTATCAAAAGTAGTTAAACAACAACCGGTGTCTCCATACGACTATGGGTAATATGTCGCGGTAATATAGGCAATATGAGACATATATCACTGTGGTTGTTTTGATGTATTCACACATCTGTTTGCTTTCTGTTTTATTGTGTCAAATTTTATGGGACTGATTGATTGTTGATTGGCAGAGGGAGACTATATAGAGTATCCCTGATTGGCATGAGGAACAGTCGGTGTAAAGACTGGTGACTCGGGCTTCCATTGTCTTAATCCAGACAACCTCCTGCCCAAAGCAACAACTGTCAACCAATCAGGCTGCGGAAACGGTTACTGTTGATTCCTTGATTTGAGAGTTTATTGGATTTCTTAGGTAGTTCACGCATGACTAGCGTCAGACAAAGGTACTGTCTCGGAAGCAACGGGTCATGAATCAACATCTTGATCCGCTCTATTACGTCATACATTCGTTAGCAATCATGTCTAATTACTGCCGGGATAATTAGATCAATACCCACACAAAGAGCGACCCGATGCCGTAGCTCCGACAACCAGTACCACATGGGTCTGGTGTGTGATAGTGCCAGATCTACACCACAGGAAGCCCTCGATATGTCTCCAAAAATAAGGTTATCCATAGCTGAAAACAATATTCAAATACAATACATCTATACTGTGTGTTTTCTCATATATTACCAAACAGCGCCAATAAACTAATGATTCTCCTTATATAACTACATGAGGAGTAAGAATATACTGTTATATGACTGTATAAATTGATAAATGCATGGTATAAATATTGATATCTACTATCTTTCTTATAATTAGATTAATAATAACTGGAAAAAATGCCCATAATAGAATATTAGGTCCTGATTTATGCCCCCACTTTCCCCTCTTTCCGCTGTAGTTCTTTTATTGTTAAAATTGTCATCCCAAAACTCTGTGATAACTTTTATTTTAAGGGATGATAATAATGAGCACTGTCTGCAAATGAAAGTACCTGTATTAATAAATATTTTATTCAAACGAAAAAACCCAAAAAACCCGCCTTGTTCCTCAAAATAAAGAAGTTTGACGTCCATAAAAGTCTTGCCTTTATGCGTATATCATTTCTAAATGCCGTTCCAAGACTTTAGTCCAAACAGGTTATCGACAAAGCGGGTCATGTATTCAGGTTCTCACAGATGGGCATACATTTCTCTTTTAGATGCAGTGACTTGGTTGACACATGTCATCGTATCCCAGTTGCTTAGATCGGTAGATCACTGGATTGTCTAGTTCAGACTCGATTATTTACAGACCGCTGAGTGCGGCGTTAAACAACCAACCAACCAACCAAAGAAGCAGTGTATACAATATCAAAACATAACGAGGTATTGTGTGCAACAGAGTGTTTATTATAACAATGACATACATATAATGTATTGCGTCTTTGATTATACATACGCGTTTCGTTACTTATGTCTACTTGATAACAGGGGCGGTGGGCTAGCCTAGTGGTTAGTCACGCTGAAGACCCGGGTTCGATAAAATGTGTGAAGCCAATTTCTGGTGTCCCCCGCCGTAATATTGCTGGAATATTGCTAAAAGTGGCGTAAAACCATATTCACTCACTCACTACTTGATAGCAAACCGGCGATGAGATTACTTAACATCTCGCGTTTATTGACCGAGTACATGTGATATGCAATGATTGTGACCACAACTTTCATACTTTAGTGCGATGAATACATGGATACTGTGAGGAACACATATCACAGTTTGATTTTGTAATGTAAGACATAAATCAAGAATTCGTTATGCATTAATTTTGGGCTTTTCATCAACATCGGCAAATGCATTTCGGCCTGTTAATAATTCGGTGGATATGTGGAAAGTCAGGTCATGCGCTTGGAGCGAAAATACAATTCACACATAATCAAATATTACCGCTTCATGGGTATAGCTTATTTCACATGAATTTAGATTATATCACATAGACATAACTTATGTCACACTGACATAACTTATATGACATTGATATAACTTATATGACATTAATATACATATATCGCAACAATACGTAGCTATACTAAATATTAAACATAAACCTTATTGACCAATGCTACACCATGCATCTGTTATTTTACTTCAGTGTATACCTACGTATTCCTGTGCGTATATATCTCCTGCACATTGGCCAATCGGATAGCATAAACTGTACACTGAACGCTAATTTTTAGCATCTTTACATTCCCCCATAAGGCTTGTGTTAACTACAACATCTCTTATATTTCGCAATTAGATTACGTAAAAGTAAGTGGCATATATATTTATGTTTCAAATGGACAGTTTGTATCAGTTGTGTTCATTGCTAAACAAACAGATCAATAAAAAGCAAAATGCTGGTTTGTAAACAGCTGTGAGTTATTTTTAGCTGGAAAGACATCACGCCAAATTTTACTGTCAGTTAAATTGAACACATACATCGTTTTAACTCTACTTCGAAACATTAGCATGATAGGCGACAATTTTTGGAACCATTTCATCTATTTCCAGCTGCTGTACATTTGAAGCATATCTGCTCCCGCGAGGAGTCGTACACCAAATAGTACCGTGCTCAACGAGAAGTGACGTCACATTTGGACATGCGTTACACGTTAGGGTGAAAGGGAACCTGTTTGGAGTACCTGTTGAGATACAATCTGGCATCTAAAAAGTTATAACTTCCTCGACTGAAGTCAATAATCAACAGGTATGTGTGTAAATTATAATTAGTCAAATTCTCGATGTCAGAATTATGATTTTTATCTCGGATTGCAACTTTGCAGTGAGAAAGTTTTAGAGCCCCTCTGGGCAGTTTTGACAGCCAATCAAGGACCGTAACTCGTGGTGTTTGTTTACAATTTAATACCTTAAACTAATAGGTGATAATTTTTATAATAAATTGTGTTTATGCTCGCCAATTTCAACACTGTAGAAGCGACTGCTGTTAACCACGGGCTTGATTTTACTGTACTGTATGGTTTGTACTCTGGTGTAAAACGCAATGGTTTTATGAGATCGGAGTGTGGAATAACTTTTAAAATACTTCAGGCGGTTAAACATTTCCATCGCAGACATGTTTTGCAACTTGCATTCCAGGGAGATTGTAATAGGTCGTTTAAGGTGAGATAAGGCTGTACGAGATATATCTGTAGATATGAGTTTGAAAAGGAGATATGAATCATAAACGCATTAAATAGCTATGGAGGAAATAGAGCATATCAAAGCTACACCTTGAAATATCTTAATCGTCTGTGTCAAATTAGTTAAATATTTGTTGCTCCAGAGGCAAAGGTAGAGCCTTCGTGGAATAGTTCAGAAAATGTGTCAACATGCTCCTGCTCATACCTGAAATTAATGTTCAAATTGATTACAAGTGTAGTTTTGAGCCTTGGTCAAAAGCATGCTGGCTTTTGACATGTTGTGGAATGTTTTCCCAGTTCTGGTGTCAAGTAGTGTAAACAAGTGCGTGTTTTGAGAATGTGAAAATATTTAGTTGGCTTGTGCAGGGGAAAATAGATGTTTATTGCAAGACCACATTGCACAGGAATAAAGCATTCATGGAAATACTTATCACATGGGTGTAAATACCTCATTATAGGTTTTATCTCATGGTAACTTATTTGATAAAATTGTTCAACATTGTTGTACTTCAACAACATTTTCTTATTCTAAAACTAGGAATACACACCCACATTTTTTCACATTTGTGTAACTGTGTAGCATTTTTGCAAAGATACTATGTGTTACAAATGATGCAAGAAGATGAGTGACATGTCACTTGTGAAAAAGCTGTGTGATTATATAAGATTACTCTTTTTAGCTGATAATTATCAAGTTATGCGACTGCATGTCTGTTGATCAGCTCTTTCATGTCATATGATATGATGGAAATACAGTGTATGAATATAGTATATTTTCCTAAACTTGGATGACAACTGTTATTATATGTTTGTTATTTATTACTGTAAAATGCAGTAATGTATGTCATGAGTTTGTGTGTCTGTCAATTGAGTGTTCGCTCCTCGCCCAGGTATGAGGTGAATAAACCCATGAAGATTAGGTTTAGAACTGGATTTCAGCAACCAATGCTTAACCCATGAGGTGACAATAGAGATCATGTCGTCAGACTCACTGATTTGGTGGAAACGTGTCATTATGTCCGATTTTGTTGATCAGTGCTCATGATGCAAATCACTGGATTGTCTGGTCAGGACTTGATTGTTTACAGAGATCTCTTGTTCAGTTGGAATATTGTCAAGTTTGGTAAACAATATGATTACATCATGCAGGCTTTTTGTCAGAATTTTCATTTATGTTTTTTCTCTATTGTTTCATTTGAATCCTATCCGGAATGCTGTACATTTTTGAAATGTCGAAGCCTGTTGTGTCAGCGCTTCCTTCATATATAGATATATAATGTATTCATCTCATAAAAATCATTAAACAAGTAAGGGTGAGTTAGTTCATTGATATTAAAACTTGACAGCTGTTTTGTTCTGATAGTGATGCAGCCATGCTTGTAAAGGAATGCAGTTGGTTTTGGTTGGTTTGTTGTTTAACGCTGCACTCAGCAATATTCCAGCTATATGGCAGCAGTCTGTAAATAATCGAGTCTGGACCAGACAGTCCAGTGATCAACAGCATGAGTATCAATCAACACAATTGGGATGGACCCGTGAAGGTCCGGGTTAGAATTGATCTTCAGTAACCCATGCTTGTCGTAAGAGGCGACTAACGGGATCGAGTGGTCAGGCTCGCTGACTGGGTTGACACATGTCATTGGCCCCCAATTGCGTAGATCGATCTTCATGCTGTTGATCTTTGGATTGTCTGGTCCAGACTCGATTATTTACAGACCGCTTCCATATAGCTGGAATATTGCTGAGTGTGGCATACAACTAAACTCACTCACACAATTGGGATGTGATGCCATGTGTCAACCAGGTCAGGGAACCTGATCACCTGATCCCGTTAGTTGCTTCTTAAGACAAGGACGAGTTACTGAAGATCAATTCTAACCCGGATCTTCACGGGTCCTTGAGGAATACAGTGTGAATATATCATTCTTGGCCTCCTTACATGAGGTACATGTCAGTGCTTACTTGAAATAGGTGAAGATAAATAAGACATCTATGCTTGGTATGTGAGTGGACTGTCTAACCTGTTCAGATCCGTTTGCCTACACTCTGGTAGTCAGGTTTGGTGGTGTTTGTCTTCTGAGGTATATTTGTCTACTGTCAGTTTGGTGCATTAAGACAAAGGTATTTGGTGGTTAAGCAGCTTCGATCTACACAAATGGGATACGATGACATATGTCAACTAAGTCAGGGATCCTGACCACCCAATCCCATTAGTCTTACAACAAGCATGGGTTACTGAAGATCAGTTCTAACCTGGGTGTTCATGGACCAAAAGAAGTTAATATGTGGTACTTGTTGTTACCCTGGCTGGCATTAAGGGAGTGAGTGAGTGAGTTTAGCTTTACACTGCTTTTAGCAATATTTCAGCAATATCACGACAGGGGGACATCAGAAATGGGCTTCACACATTGTATCCATTTGGGGAATCAAACCCAGGTCTTTGGCGTGACAGGCGAACATTTTAACCACTAGGCTACCCCACTGTACCCTTAAGGGAGTAAAACAGGGCCTGGTCAGTTTGGAGTCAGTATACTGTGTCTGAGTTTGCTAGCTGTATAGAATGCAGCACTGGTATGGACTAACACACTTTCAATATTCTCGAAATCCCTTTTCACCTGACCATAGCTGAAATCACTGTGTGGAGCAAGCAGTGGAAATGAAGGTGTCAGATTATCATGATGTATCATTACCATGTAAGTTAAATCAGTATTGTTCAGGGCTCAATGAAAGGAAATGAAACCTACTCAAATCCAGTGCAACCTTTGGTGACAAGCTTGTTGCACCAGACAAAATAGGTTACACCTGCTGCTGAATACAAAATGATATACAATGCTTGTGTTTGGTATCGATGATTTAGACTGACTGACTGACTGAGTTTGGTTTTACGCCGCTTTTAGCAATATTCCAGCAATATCACGGCGGGGGACACCAGAAATGGGCTTCACACATTGTACCCATGTGGGGATTCGAACCCGGGTCCTCGGCGTGACGAGCCAACGCTTTAACCACTAGGCTACCCCACCGCCCCTTGATGATTTAGAACATCATCACAACAATATTATTCTGGCTGTTATAAGATCATTTTATCTTAATTCATCAATTATTAATTTCAAGAACAATTACAGTCATTCAGGCACTGCCTGTGTAGTCATTACTGTCCAAGCCAGTTCCTCATAATTGTTTCATTGGTGAATCTGTGTCCTTTGAACAGCGACACATTAACATGCAAGCTGGTATAAATATACTAGTGCAAGTACTAAATGCTTAATTAGATTGCTGTTACTGGTTTGTTGTTGAGCAGTATCCTTGCTGTATGTGTGTGTGTTATAAGAATCAACCTTGGACCAGACTATCCAGTGACTGACATCATGAGCATCAATCATGTAACAGTAACAGTAATCAACCAAGTCACCTGTACTGACCAGCCTACGTATTTAGTTCACTTTTACAAGAGGCATAGGTTTCTTGGAATCTATGCTGGTGGTGAGTGAGTGAGTGAGTGAGGTTTTATGCCACTGTTATCACTATTCCAGCATTTTCAATTGGGGTTTGGGGTATCACCATATGGAAGTTTAGTAGTTGATTGGAATTATCATATGGGAATTATTTGTTTTCTTTATGTTATCTTTGTGGGCATCCCTGAATGAGTTACAGGTAGTTTTATTTCAGTCATCAAATTTACAGAGTGTGGACAAAGAATACCAACAGCCTGTGCTGAAATATTGCTAATGCAAGCAGGAATATAGAAACTAACACCATATATGTTTATATTTTTCATGTGACCCTATTGACTATTGTGTCTGTGGCAGTTTTGACTTTGTTAATTGTTTGTATCAATATCCTGTGGTGGCGCTTTGAGTACGGTGCATGTGGCTATTTTGATGTGTGGTTTGGTTTTTTTGACATACAGACTTTTCAGAAAACCACCGCCATCTTATCATTTCGGTAAACCCTCTGAAAATTGTGATGCATTTAAGAATGATCTGCAAGATATTTCATGATCTGCAAGATATTTCATGAAATGAAAGTTGAAAGTTTAACCTGTTCAAAGGCACCAACATTAAAAAATCTGACATATTACCAGCTATAGGATAACGGTTAAGCTTTTTTCTGTGAGAGTTTTAGTGAAAAACTTGAATGTTTGACTTCATTTAAGGTAAAACCATTATGAATCAAACAAACATGTTATCAGCCGTGGGATAATGCTCTTTTCTGGGAGAAAGTTGAACTGGTAACTTGAACTGGAAAGTTACACCTGTTCTGAGGTTAATCTATTCATGAAGTGACCAATGCTGCTGCTTAGTTGATACAAGAAGGAATACTCATGATCTTATCCAGTATATGACATCATTAGTGACAGTGTTATATTGCCGTATATCACAGTGATATATGTGGCCTAATTGATTGTGCATGAATGGTTCACTTCCTCGATGGTCTGTGAGTGGCCAGTCAGCCACTGTTGTACAGAGTCCACCTGGGCAAACTTACATAATCCATGGATGACCCCCAGGACAAATACCAGGTATTGACAGGTAGGGGGGATACAGTTGGTACAGGTAGGCCCAGG